CCGTATCTCTACATTAAGCACTACCGTAATAAACAATATTCTTCGTAATTCTATTCTATCTATTTACCCATGTAGGCGGAGGTTTGGATGTAACCGCGAATGATCTCCTATCGTATAGCTACCGTACCTTTACGATCAGAAGTGATTGTAACAAGTGGATAGCTTTTTCATGATCAGCGTATGAAATAACCACTCTAGGCGAAAAAACGGACGGAGTAGCGGTGGTGACCTCTTAACTTGCGGCTACCGTATCTTTACAGTACGTCGCTACCGTGAGAAATGGATAGTTTTTCATGATCAGTGTACAATATAACCCTCTTAGGCGAAGTTTCAGACAGATTCGCGATGTTGACCTCCTACCGTACGCCTACCGTATACCACAGATGTCACCGTAGTGTGACATATTAAAAGATTCATCTCAACGAGCTGAGTCTAACGCCGCTTTTTCCTTTAAAAAATATCTATTTTGAAAGAAGTTACGACGATGCGACGCTTTGCGACGGATTTTTATGTGAAATCATGTTTTTTTCTCGTGATGGTCTACCGCCTCATCGTGGCGCGGGGATGACTCCGGGTGTCGAACTGTGAAGTACAGCAGATGTTTATCCTCCAGCAGGGTCTCCCAAGCTGAGAAGGAGTTTGACGTTTCCGGTTTCCCGGATGCCCAGCTAAGAGAGGGCATGCCAGAAGCGCCACCGTCTGGCTCATTCAAGTCGCTAGGTGGCACATGTCTCTCTGAAGGTCAGCGACCTGTGGTGAAAGCATGGCAGGGCCCTGGCAAGGCACTCCATGTTTGGAAGAGTGTTTATTGCCCGAACAGCATGTAATAAGAAAAGAAGCCCTGCATCCGGATCACATCTACGGCGTCAATGTCATCGAGACCAGTGTCAGGTTGCACAGGACTCCATGGATTTCGGACCGAAAGGATACGTCAACGACTCGCCATGGAGACTGTCTCATGCTCTGCACCTACAACGCCAGGACAGTTTCCACCAAGGCCGATCTTCAAGCGCTTCTCGAAGCTGCAAGGCGCATTAACTACCACGTAATCGCCTTGCAGGAAACAA